GAACCTCAGCCTTTTCCCTGTTCTGCTGCTGTTTGTTTGCCATATGCTGTGATCTGGCAGAGGAAGTGATCCACTTGAAAAACAACTTATTTTTCCAGGTTAATTTTTCAGCTGGATTGGCTCCTTGAGCCAGTTCTCTATGGAGTGACACACCGAGCTTATTTCAATCATTAATGCCAAATACATTGTGAGGTGGTTTTTAAATATGCAGTTTTTCTCGGGTAGAAAAATCCTACTTTTGGATTAATTTGGAAATGTTGTTAACTGGATGGGTGTACTGATACCACTTCTTTAAAATGAATTGAATGTGCTGCTTTTTTCCCTTGTGGTATAAAGTGATAGATAATCTTTCAGGTATTTTCACACTGTCTTGAAATTAGATTGAGATAAAAACATTCGTAGAACTGTGCAAACTAGGTTGTTTGGGGCCAGAGAATGTAAAGTTTGCAAGGACAAAACCCTTCTGAATTGGTTTGAGAATGGATTATTATGTATTTTTTCCCCCACCTGCAGAATGGAGTTTCTGTAAAGAACTTGGGAATTTTATTTCAGGCTTGAAAATCCTGTCCCAGATATTTGGAACACAGTTTTTATCTGACAGAGAGAAAGCAGCGAGTGGTTATTTTTATCAAGATTGTTTTTTGCTGTTCATTTCCAAGAAGTGTTGCTAAGCTGTATAGCTCAAATTGTAGGTAACTGACAGAAGATCCAGTTCTCCCAGCATCTGAGGTGAGCAGGTAAGTCAGTGGCCTGTGCAGATGACAGAGCAGTTAGGATGCTGGCCTGCACCTATCTTCATGCTTTCTTGAGTCATGTTGTACTGCACTTCTCCCGTTAAAACAGATCCGATGTGTCCTTTGTTCCCAGATAAAAGCAGCTGCAGATCTGCTGTTCAGAAGGCACAGCACCTGTGGCTTACCTTACGTGCAGGAGAGCAGTAATTTGAGAAAGGGAAGTCGGTAGGAGACTGGCATCTGCTTGTGTTCACCTTCTCATGTTGCTGTGCAAGGATGCAGTTACTTGGGTGTATCTTTTGCCTTCAGAACACAGTCAGCCAGAATCTGAGCCATGTTTTATATGTTGTTATACTGATCCTACTGCAACTCAGCTGCCATTTACAGAGCTGGTTAGGATGTTGTCCTACGAGTTTGAGCAGTCATCCTCTCCTGTGATAAGCAGGCCTGTTTGTAGTTTGCAGGACAGAGTTTGGACACTGTAACATTGACTTACTGCTGGAAAAAGAGTGATGCTATCTGTCTGCTCCAGCCTAGACCTTCATTTCCAAAACCACATGCATGGAAGGTGAAAGCTTCCCTTCTCCCAGGAAGGTATGGCTGGCAGTACCAGTGGCAGGACTTTCAGGGAGGAAGCAACAAAACAAAGCTTTTTAAGAAACCTTTTTTTTTCCCCCCAACAAGTGGCTTTCTGCTGAAGCTTAACTTTGGAAAGAAAAACAAAACAAAACACATGTATTCAAGGGAGATGCATGTCCACCTACTTAAGACTGTCACAGCCCTCTTCTGCCTTACAAGCTGTTTCCCAGGTAAATGTTTGCCTTCGAAAGAGCTCCAAGCCTTGGAGCATACTGGGCTGTGCTTGTCCTCCAGTCTTTGCTTTATATTGGCTTGGCTACTGGCTGAGCTCCTCCACTTAGACCATTCATGGCAGCATCATTTCCTTTTAGCTCCCTGAAAGTGCCTTGCAAGAGAACAGTCCTTATGATCAGTCCTGCCCTGTGTTCTCCTGGGTCATCTCACCTGCCTCTTGGTGGATTTATGTATGCAAAACCTTCTGAAGGTTTGAAGGGACATGACAAATCAGAGGGGAACTTGGGAAGATACAGAATTTCTGGCTTAGGCAAATTTGTGCCTGGTCTTAATAACATTAAAATGTTTTTGCATGCTAAAAAAGGCATTTATTTAAACATTTTAGGAGGCTTCTTTTTTTAATTTTTTCAGAACTTGTAGTTTCCTCTGAAGTCCTTTCCTGCTAAAATTGTTCGGGATTGTTTTTCTCCCTCTGTCTTATCGTTGTATCTGGGAAGCTGACCAGAATTTTGGAGAGAACTTAGTTTTGATGAGCAGGCAGATGTTTTGCTTGGCCACGTTGCTGCATATCCCTAACCTAACCTACTGCTCCTCCATCCTCTGGCGAGGAGGCCGAGCTGCCACCCTCTGGTTTTCGGCACCCGCCCGTTGTATATGGGGAGGGAAAAGCACGAGAAGCCGTGTGTGTGAAGTGGAAGGGGCGCTGAGGTGTTGGAGGGGCTGCTCTAACGTAATCCAGATGCTCGAGCTTCTTTTTCTGACCCTTTTTTTTTTCCAGGAGCTTTTTTTTTTTTTTTTTTCCAGGTTGTTTTCCCGAGTGACCAGATAGCAGCAGAGAAGAAGGGGATGGTCTTGGAGCTAAGCCGGCTCCAGGCAGCGGTCGGAAGATCTTTGTTCTCTTCTGTCTTGACCACAAACTTCCCCGCAGACCTCGGTGGGGGCAGGGGCATGGAGCTCAGTGCTTTAGCTGGGGGTGTGCTGTTTTTTTTTTTTGTTTTTTTTTTCTTTTCTCCTTCCATGAGTAAAATACGGTACTGCTGAAATGAGCAGCTCAATTCTTCTTAGTGTTTGTGTTGAATTAACACCCCCAGTAAGCTTCTAAATAAACTGGTCGTGGGGTTACCGAAATGTCCCGGGTGGGCATCCTGGCTTATTTTTCTAGCAGCACGTTTGTTTGGAGTGAATTCTCTATCAAGAGCCAGGGAAGTGGCTCTTTGTTTTCCTCTTCTTCTTGGAATGCTGTTTATTAGTGATATCCAGAGGGGTCAGCGGCATAAATAATGTTTGTTTCAAGGCTTGTTGGGTGCAAATGGTGGGGGGTTCACACCAAGAGAGCTGTTTTGTTTGGTGTGGTTAATCAGGAGCGAGGCTGGAATTGCTCATAGCTGTCATTCAGGTTTTGTTTCAAAGTCCAAGGGCCTACTGGGAAAAACAAAAAGCTAATGAAAGCTGACTGTATTTCAACCCAAACCCTGTGGAATCCAAAATGATGTCCTGACACTCGGTGTATTCTTATTCTCCTGCATTCCCGTGGTTACTAAGGTAACAGGTTTTTAGAGGCTTTACATCTTCATTGTCAAGTATTTGCTACACTTATTGTTGCTGTTTGCAGATTAGGGCAATTTAAACAATGCCTTTTGAAATGGGGACCCAAAAATACAAAAAAGAAATATAGTAGAAATAGATGTAATGAATCAATTACCCTCTCTCGCCGAAATTTTCAGTGCTGCTTCTCAGAGGCTGCATACGAAATGTCCCACTGGTTTAGGGCATGGATTTTAGGCAGAGAAATGCCTTTTGTGAGGCATATTCATTATGGGACTCTTTGAATACAGATGTTGAGTACCAGACAGTAACTTTGTGCCTTTTCCAAACAACAGAATTGTCTTGAGGAAACTGAAGTTCGGACTTGCATCAGGGTGTTGTTTGTCAGATCATCATACATCTAAGACAGGTACCTGAATCTCACAGGCTGTGTTAATCCCACACCACTGTGTCTGCGAAATCATACTTTAAAAACGAAGCATCCAGGGACAAATTGGAAAAGGCTTAAGAAAAATTTAAACTACATGCAGAGCTCTGAAGGCCATCGTGCTCTGTTGCTGCTCCTCTGTGTCCATTTAGCTCGAACAGAAATACTCTTGTTCGCATCTTTCCTGGAAAACCGGATCGTGAAGGAGATGATCAGACTTGTAAAAGCATCTTCAAGAAAATGACTCTTTTTATTGGCTTTGTTTCTGCTGGCTTCTAGAAAGTTTGTGCTTTGCTGCAACGAGCATCTTCTGTGACTGTGGTAAGAGAGTCATTTAAAAAAAAAAAAAAAAAAGGATTGGTGCAGCTGTTAACTCTTGAAACTACTGAGGACTTCACATAAAGCTGGTTTATGGATTGGCTGTTAGGGGAGTAATTTTCAGCTTTGTGTCATATTTTTCATTCCCCAAAATGAAATTTTAATGAAGCTTTAATTAAATTATTATACAATTCTCATAATACATACAAGCTTTAATGTTAAAAAGATAAATGTATATTTTGCATTTACATGAGACAAACTATTTAAACTATGCTATACATACACGATCATAGCACTAATTGCTATCTCTGTAAGAACGGAGTTTAAATACTGTTTCATTGATGTTTTTCAGTGTGCTTTCTTTTTAACTTCCCCTCCATTCCCCTTGCCTCCTAAATAGTTTTTGCTGTTTAACAGCTTCTAAAGCAGCAGTGTTTGATGGTGCCTTGCTATAGAGCTGCTCGTGGTTTATACCACTAGAAGGATAGGGTGAGCAGGGTTTGAAGAGGCTGGGGAGAATTTAAAACTGTTGTTAGGGCTCTCATTGATTAAAAAATATTGCTTCATATGTATTAAATCATTTACATTTATGATCTTCTCACTGCTGGTAACTGAGTTTGAATACTTTATTTTAACTAACTGAGCTGAATGCTGCCCATTCCTGTATGCAGCCTGGACTCATCCTTAATTCTGCACTAGCTTTTCTGACTCTGCATAAAACCCTTGCTTAAACTAGGCTTCTTTAAAAGAAAATACCATTTTAAACCACTGCTCACAAGCCAGATTCACTTTCTGAATAAGTAACCCTACCAAGTAATTTTTAGGAGTAGGCAGCTGCTCTGCTTGTGAGGGAAGCAGCATTTTGCATCTCTCTTTGAGGCGATTGCTCTGACACAGCTTTATGATACAGTTTCTGCGAGGCTGAATGTATGAAGTGGGCATGGGACTGAGCCTGGGATGCAGTGTTTTGTAGCTTTCCGTGCTGCAGTCTCAGGCATGGCAGCTGTTTAACGCTTACTGTTGTGTGCAGTACAAAGCAGGCTGAACACAGCTGAGCTCTGGTATATGGAGTCCTTCCTTGGCAGAAAGGAAATGTTTTTAGCTGAGAACAATCTTAGCGGACAGCTGATGATGCAGGTATCGTTCTCTCTGTCCTTGAACAGGAGCCCTTGCCTTACCTTATGCTCCAGAGCCTTTAACCCACGCACAGGCACAGTGGGCCAGATCCCCATGCTGCTGAAATAAGCCACCACCATCACACATCATGTCTGCATTTAGAGGGGTGAAGCTGAACGCAGGCTGAATTGTTCCCTGTGACGAAGGACAGGAGGTGCTTGGTAAGCATCTCTCACAGATTATTGTTTTAAAGTGTTTGTAGGGAAGCCTTTAATTTGATCAGGTCATTTCCTTAATAGTTCTCCATGTGTGATTCTTACTTTGCCCTGGACAAAGGTGTGATTGGACATCAAAATGTTTGCAAACAAATGAAGACAAGACTCTCTCTCTTTCTCTCTCTCTCTCTTTCTCTCTCTCTCTTTTTCCTGATGAAAAAAAATATAGATATACTATGATGTTCCATAGAATTAGAATTATTTATTAAAATTTTAATTCCTATAAATAAATGTTTTAAGCTTGGTGCAGGGCTGCTTTTATTTAAATTTCCTGAAAGCTTTATAAAGAGAGGGAAGACATAAAGAAATTCTTTTCCCTTTTTTTAATCTTGTAAAACTTCTGATATCCAAAGATACTAGTATTCAGCGTGTGGCCATTGGAAGCATACGAAGAGAGCTTGTAAGTTCCTTAGGAAAAAAAAAAAATCACCAAATTGTGAAGATTCTAAGTACTGACTTCAATGCAGAAGGGTTCATGAGAACTCCTGTGTTTTGTTTGTTTGTTTGTTGCTTCTCTTTGTTTTGGTTTCTGTTGTTTCGGTTTTGTTAATGGAAATTCTTATTGTTGTTTTACAAGCTTGGGATCATCGTTGAAAGTTAATGTGATAGGAGGCTGTAATACCCCCCAGCAGATTTCTTTTCCGTTCTGTAATAAGCCTTTTCCTTCCCTGCTGGAGGAGGGATGGACATTCACCCATCCCCAGCATATATAGGCTGGGTATGACCTTCACGTAGGAAATGGAGAGGATGTCTGGGTGCTCTAAAACCCTTTTTTTTTTTTTTTTTTTTTCCTCCAATTCTAATTTTAAATGATTTTTTATTTCTAACAGACTTTTTGTTTTTCTTAACAGTAACTTTATACTTTAATGGAACTGCATCATCGTCTCATTGAGGCAGACGAAATAAAGCAGAGGTGCAGAGCTGGATGCACAGAACTGTCCTAGAAGCAGAACTGCCAGTTGCTTCGTATTGCAGATGAGTGGGCACTTCAGGCACACAGTCTTAGATCAACATGTCCAGTGGAGGCAGACAGTGTTTGCTTCACAGCTGGGAAGTACAAGATTGCCTGACAACTTGTAATAGCTATCAAAAAAAAAAGGAAATGTCTCACAGCAGAAATTAATCTCCATAATTTAATAATATGCAGATAATTATTAATATAATTTAATTACTATACAGGTAACCCATGCTTAAGCAAATAAGAGTAGGTAAACTGTAACTGCATGCAGTCCAAGCAAGGCTGACAAAATACTGCTTTCATTTTTGGGAAAAAGAAGCAAAAGAAGCAAATTTATGAATAAAAGGCTTCTTTAAAAATTTGGAAAGAGAATCTGTGCATTTAGCTCATACTCCTTGCTCTGTCATCCTGGATTTTTATTTTTGTACATATTATCTTCTCTTGCTGCGCCTCTTCTTTTGCTTGGGGGAAGGAGGAACACTTAGTCTAAGGGTTTTACTTGTTGTGCCTTATTCAGCCATGAACAGAAATTAAAGAGAGATTTTCTGAGTGGTTTTCACTGGCGTTTCAGGAGAGTATGCAACTAGGCTTGGGGGAGAAAATGTGATTGTCCAGAGCCAGAACCTGCAAATTTGCATGGGCCTTGTTATGCAAATGTGCTTCAAACACAGTATGAAAGAACATCCTTTAATTACGTGGAAATTACAGTGTAAGTAATTAAAACAAAACAATAAATAAATAAAACCACTTACTTACCTTAGGATAAGTTCACAGCAAATCTAGTACACAGTTAAATGGAAGAGCTTTCCTTTATCTGGAAGTCTGCAGGCCTGTGTTTAAAGCAAGCGTGACCTTGCCTTCCTAACAAATACAGCATTTCATCTCGACAAGAGGCAAGGAGAGCCAGTACATTACAAAAGGCAAACATGATGTATGTGGTGAGCACTCTGTAATTCATTGCAGGCACCAGATAAGCCTCAGTAATATTTATTGCATTAGGGCATGATGGAGAATGAAGTATTTTGTGCTGGGAAATCCCGAGGACAGGATTCTTTGCCTTTTCTTCATGCCGCCCTATTCTGCTCCGAAACTGCGTCTAGCTTGTGTTTGAATGATGTGCCAAGCCATTCTCTTAAGGTTCTCATTGCCTCGTTTCTTCATAATTACACAAAATAACAGGCACTTCAGCCAGTTGCCACCGGAAAAAAGAATGAGGAAGGGTAGTTATTCTGAAAATGGATGTTCAAAATAAAAATAACAAAGCAAAAAGCTAGTCGTTGCTGTTAGAGATTTTTCTTCGCTAAGCTTCAGCTGTTGATTTGATGCCTTATTAAAATGGTGAGTCATGTAGTGCCCACAGGTACTACAGGAGCAGATCTTAAAAGACACAATTTCCATTTCTATGTATGAAACTTGCAAAAAATATATATATCAGGATATATTGTACAGTCTAAAATGTGCTCCCTAAAGAGCATGATCTGCTGTTCATTTTACCCAGTTTTTTAGGCTTCCTACTCTTCTTATGACTTGAAGATGAAACTAAATAAGCAAACCTTAACTTTTTTCTTAATATTTTATCCCTGTAGGCTAGTGTATTTACACACAGCTTTTATTAATGGGATCCAATCAATAGCAGTATGTCTCTGTTTCAAATAAGGCGGTAGGTCTTAAAGGCTACGTGAGTAGAAACATCCTAATACTTTAACAGATGTATAATTTCTAAAGAAATAGACTATGAAACATATGGATTATTAACTTGTATAAGCTGAAAGTGAAGAAAAACACCAAAACTCTAGAAAGTTTGAGATTTCTGATGCTTCAAAAGAACAATTTCCATGAGAAGGGGCTGTTTGCCGGAGCTGTTAGGCAGCCTAGCAATTTATTCCCATTGACAAAGATGCCTAATGAAGAAGCGCAGGCATTGTAGGATCAAGCTATAAACTTCATTCCTGGTGCCCTGGCAGCTCTTCAAAATGGCTTTTGTTGCCAAACAGGAAAGCACTCGCAACGTAAACTAGTGTCGTCTCGCAGCCCACATTGATCAAAGGTGGGAGGAAAGGTAAGAATATTCTTTGTTTTTGATGAAGTGTTTGTCCCTGATGGGAGAATGGAACATAGAAGCGATTCGAGAGCCTTTCTGAGGCTGCAAAATGATACCCGTTTTATATATATATTTTTTTAACAGACTGTGATTGCTATCAGAAACAGTGACTGAATAAGCTGGGGGGTTGTCCTCAGTAACCATGCATAAATGAGGGATTCATGAGAAGCAGCCCAGACCTGTTCTTCGCTTCTCATCCACTTTCCTTCCCATAAAGCCACCAGGAATAAAATCCCCTCTCTCCATTATACTTGTCTTCACCAAACCAGTCGGTGTGCGTGCACCTACTTGAGCCACCCGAATTCTTGATGTGCCTGTAAAACATACATCAGGCAGTTGCACAGCATCGGGTGCCTGGAGGGGGTCTTCCTCTTGCAGCCCTGCAAGCAAAGGGCTTGGATTGTGAGCATAGTGATGCTGAAATGGGTCCAAGAGGTGGAGTGAGCCCTCCTGGTATCCGTGGGACAACATTTCTGCAAATTGGTAGTCACTTTGTGTATTCAGACAATCCAAACTGAATGTATATGATGATAATTAATTACGCATTTTTTTTTTTCAGATAGGCTTGTGGCTAGCAAAAAGATTTGGTTGTGGCTAACTTTGGTTTGTGAGGAGGGATCCAGTCGAAGGCAGAAGGCCAAAGGGGTTGCCTTCCATCTGTGCTGAAGATGCGAAGTCATGCTATCTAAAGGAAAAGAAAGATGACATTGCCCTTTAGCCTGGGTTTAATGTAGGTCAGTTGGGTCACCAGATGACATGACTTTAATGGCCAAACTGCTTTTAACAATTGCCTTGGGCAGTGTTTAATTTCACTGATCTTTGCCAGCCTTCAGGAGGAGGGAGAGGAAAAATCCACCTTATCTCCTGGTTTTCACACGGCGCACGCTCAGCTGCTTTTGTGATCTTTTATGCCTGGTCAGTACAGAGCAACATGTGCGTGTGTGATTATCCGGGTATGAAAAGTGTCACCTGCCAGGCTGCTGAAAAATCATCAGGCCAGGTATTCTATTTTAATTTTTTACATCAGTTTCTAGTAACAAACTTCAAAGTCTGAGCAGACAGAGAAATATATTCAGTATCATCTTTCTAGTTGCTTGTAACGTTTTCTTCCTGAAAAAGGGTTAATACTCAATTATTTCATTCTTAAAGATATCCATACAAAATATATACTTATGACTTAATCCCCTTTTCTACTGAAACTTCTCTAATGAAACTTGTTGCCTCGTGAACGTTTTTAGTAAGGGGTGAAGACGCGATATAGTTAAATACCGCGTTAGTTTGCAATAAATCTCAGGCTGGGTTCACAAAAGGGTTTGTCAGCATTCTTGGGCCGTTCGACTACCATATGCAGAATTTCTAGTCAGCTTGAGCTGACCTATGATTTATTATCGCCCTTTCACATGCAATATTTTCCTCCTCGTTGCGAAGCACTGTAACAATGAATCACAGACGATAGTAACAGATGAGGAAGGGTAGAGCAGAATTCCCGTTGTCCTACTTTTTTGTCCTGGTGATGGGCTGGGATAGTAGTACAGGGAACATACGTTTCCTTTCAGAAACTGCTCAGCATATATCTTGGAAAGTGCATGTGTTTCAGTTTTGTATGGATGCTCTGAGTAAGTTATTGCTGAGAAACCATGTCTTGATTTTGTAATGGGGAGTGCTATTCACATGCTAGCTTAACGGACCGTAGTAGTGAGGGGGGGAAAAAACACAAAAGTAAATATTAAGTTATTAGGAGAAAAAAAAAAAAAAACACAAAGGAATAAAAAGAAAACATGATTCTGCCATGCACGTGCATCTTCAGCATATCTAAGTATTGAATGTCACAAGCAATTTGTCTCACTTCCCCTTTTCTCCAGTTAACAGATATTAACATAGGAAAAA